CCTCGCGGTTCCCGGGCTGACCTTGAGCGGCCGATCACTTGCGGTTCAGGCCAGTCTGGCATCTGCAGACTGCTGCCTCCACCCCCTGGCTCGGCCTTCGTGTCTTTCTTGGCCCTGATCGGGGTGGTGTGTACATATGTGTATTTGTACATAGTTCTTTGGTCTTCACTCTCGGCGGTTCGGTTGCACTGTCTCCTCGCGGGGTGTTTTACAGAGTGACCCCGTACATATGGAATATGTAACGGAGTGGAGAGATAGTTTCGATATGCTAGAGAACGTACGGTTACGGTGTAACCTTGGTTCTCTTAGTGAGAGACTATCTCTCCACCGCGAGGCCACTCGGAGACGCAAAAACCGGTTTCCCCATTTTTTGGCACAACATCGGTCATTCTTACACATGTACTGCATCATATAAAATATATAAACTAAATATCTTTGAAACGTATAGAATCTAATCTTTCGTTTGTTTTTTTACTTAGCACTTTATCAAACTGTTGTCTGCTACGGAGTTACAAGTATTATACTAATAATATAGCATCCACCATCTCCTGCTTGCATATTTCTGAAAACATCTTAGTGGTGTGGCAGCCACGAGTGAGCCCTGCAAACCCTGTGGATGGACGATGCAGTGGACAGTGGGAGGAAGCATCCTAAAGCTCTTTGCAGACCACCCAGTGTGATTCTCCACTCGCCAACCAGAAAAGACAAACCGCAGGTCTCAGTTGCAAGTTGCAACACCCCATCCACGTCTGATCTTGCTCCGGCAGATTCAGCAACACTGCCTGAGACTTCCTGTAATCTATTACAGTTGTAAAAAAAACGGTCCAGGAACAGCTCACTCAGGTTAATCCTGTGTGAACAACTGTAAATATTGTTTTTCATCTTTACATACTGTGTATTTGAAATAATATGTTTAATTGTTATTGTTATTTACTTTATTGCTATCAAATAAATATCCATGTAATACTGTTCAAAGTTAGCGTCATGTTCATACATGTTAAAAATGCCTGTAAATCAAATTGAGTTCAGTGAAAATTACTGTTAGTTTGAATCAATTTATTAATAACATAAAACCTTTAAACTAATGCAACACACATAACAATGTAACAAATATATTCTCAGTACATAACTCATTTGGGAACAAATCTTTCTAGAAGTGAAAACAGTCCATCCTCTCCCTGCTCTCCTCTCCTCAGCCTCTCTTTGCTGCCTCATGTCCTCTCTGATGAGGTCTAGCAGCTCATCATCTCTTTTCCTCTTCCTCCCTGTCGTAGGTGGCTGACCCACTTCGTCATCGCTGTCGTTTTGGTCACCCACTGCTGTGCTTGGTCCTGGAGTGTCCTCAGGGAGAGAGGACACTAGGACAGGAGGCTTAGTGGAAGGCATCTGTCCTATTACCTCATCCATGAGGGCAAACCAGGGCCAAGCACAGCAGTGGGCTTCCCACTGACCTCCTCTCCTGAGCCTGGATACTTGCAATCCTAAAGGCAGAGGAAATCAAAGATGACAGCAGGCAAATAAAAACACCACAACAACTCTTAGTAGTTGCACATTTATTAACTTGTGTTCTTAAGAATTATCTTCTTGATAACACACATACGTACTTTGTATTCTTTAAACTTATCTCATGTCTTCTGGCCTGCAAGGGGGTGACTTTCCCCTGCAGGCCTATCTTCTCCAGAATTGTCCTGATCACACACAACACAGAAGAGAAGAAAGGAAACCATGGCAACTATGTTAATCCCTAAACCCAAAAGTTTTCACAGCAGAACACCAGAGGAACGCCGTCTGGACATCACAGGTTCTGCACAGCAGCGAGTCGTTTGGTACCAGGCCACGAGAGTTGAAATTTATGGTTTCCAGGGGTTTTATCATTAACGCGGTTTCCCTGGGTCTTTCTCTTGTTGTAGTTGTGCGTCTTATTTTGAAAGAAATATTTACACGTTACCATAGTGACCAGAGAGCATTAAGCGGCAGAGAGGAGGATGTTACTGTCAGTTTGGCACATTTTCAGGAGGACGCTGCTAATAAATTTACACAATTACACAGAACATTCACATTTATTATTATATTTACAAAATACCAGTTTTTGTCTTGGTCAGGTCATTTTATGTGGTTGTATTTATCCGCGACACCTTAAAGGCTCCGTGTCTGACATAAACCGGTCTGTGGCGCAAAAAAGGTTTGGGAGCGCTGCTGTGCAGCATGAGGGTTAATGGGACCGCACTCATATGAATATGATGTGTAAACTGATTAATTCTTGTACATCCACGCTGTAGCGGCCCAATTCTTCACCCCAGTGAAGAGGTGATCGTTTCCTCCTCGTTTTAATAAATTAAGCCGTTTGTTCCCCACAACATGTCACCAATTCGACAAAATCTAAATTAGCTGTATGTAAGCGGCTATACATGAAAAATCGCGGGACCCGCGATACAAGCTGGTTTACAGTTATTTTAAATAGAAGAAACATGTCTCTGCAGATGCCCAAAGCTTAACAACACGACCGCTATAACAATTTAACTTTTGTACAACCAGATTTTCATATACTTACATTTGAAAGTGTTTTCCTCTCCTGCTTCGACCACCATCGTTATCAGAAACAAATCTCCTCTATGAATCATGAATCCTGGGATATAGTAGGACACGAAGGATTCATCGGACCCATCCTTAGAATTTGGGGAAAAGTAGGACGCATTTGTCGCCACATTTTGAGTGCTCTTTGTATTCGGACAGCCCTCGTCACGTCGCTGTGACGTCATTGCATCCAAATATGGCATCTTAAGCATCCTTCCCCTGAATTCCTACACAGCTTCAGTACATTCACAAAGGACACAGACCTTCAAAGTAAAACAGGAAATGTAACACTGAGACATGGGCTTGACTAGGGGACACAGCTGACAGGGGAGACAGAGCAAATAAGAAACACAGAGACCAAACATAAGGGAGGCAGAGAGAACACTAAACACTGGGTCACTGACCAGGACCGTGACAGATTTAAAGAAAAAGATCCACAACAACACCGACAGTAGCAGGGGAAAGTCCCCACACAGCAGTGATGTGTGTGATGGCAGAGAGTCAGCACTAAATAGTCATTAGAAGAAAGCACACACAAACACACAGTCATGTTTTTATATTTTAGTGAGGACATAATGCTTTCCCGAGCCACTTCCCTTAACCATAACCATCAAAAATGAATGCCTAACTCTAACCCTGAGCCCAAACCTCACCATAACCTCACCGTAACCCTGACACCAAAACCAAAATGCCTTCAAACTCCATTTTATCCCCATGAGGGCTCTTGTTCCTCACAGAGATATGTAAACATGTACACACACACAACCCCGTTCAGCTATCTTGGTGAGGACCCTCATTGACATAATGGTTTCCCTAGCCCCTTACCCTAACCCTAACCATGGGTGGGGTCCCTAACACAGAAAAACAAAAAGACAAGAAGTCACATATAAGAAAGAAAGACAAGCACAGAACAAACAGAAAAAGAGTGAGACAAAACAAAGAGAATAACGTACACGAAACAACGGAAAGGATTTAAAGGAAGGGATCTAAAACCTGCAGGACACCGGCCCTCGAGGGCTGGAGTTCGACACATGTGATTTAAAGGAAGGGGGTGCCATAAACACAAATAGAGTGAACAAAGGACGGGATGTCAAAAAAGACAGGGGGTGCCATTAAAAGACAAAGACAAACAAAGAGATGAAAGAAAACAAAGAGAAAAACAGTAAGAAAAATAGAAAGTTTCACAAAAACTAAGAAAGACTTTTTCAAGTGAAAACAAAAATGGGTGGAGCTAACACAAGTATAAAAAGCCAAGGGAGGCAAACAGAAAGACAAAGACAAGACACACTGGGTCGGCCTGAAGAAGGCAAAAACATGCTGAAACGTCGCGAACGGCCCAGTGATGCTAGAGTGCACTAAAACCCCAGATAAGGGCAATTCTTTGAACCAGGGCAGGGACACCACCACCCAGCCCCATCAATGGCCCATGCACCTTAATAACAGGTATGATTCAATGCAGAGAGGTCTATTAACACAATGACAGTGAAGTTGAATTCTATTCTATTCTATTAGACTGCTTGGCGACATGAGACTGTGATAAACAGGGTCTTTAGTGCAGACCTTTCAGAGATTGTAATGTTTCTGCTGCTAGATGATAACAACAGGAGACGACCTTCGGGTCATAAAGCCAGACAGCAGTGTGGGTGTAGATTATATCGCATATCTTGTCGGTGAAGCTTTAGATTTGCAGAAGGTTTCGCGCTGTGCACATCTCCTTTCCGGAAGGTTTTTTTGAATAAAGTGATTGAATATATTTTGAATACACTGAGTCAGCGTCTTCTCTGTCCAGCCTGAGGACTAAAAGAATCAGGTTGATAGAAGTATTTTGATTTTTTTAAGCTGTAATGTAAAAACCCTGTAAAACAAAAAGCAAAGAAAGGTGATATTGAGATGGATGATATTGATTCTGATGGTGTTGAACCTTGCGATCATCAGCAATGAGAATCAACAATTATGACAGGAATAGCTGTGGTTCTTGAGCTAGTGACAGATTTACCTTCACAGCTGTGAAGGTCAGTATGAGGACTGATAGGAAGCTGAATGTTAAACTATCCCAAATGACACATTATTTTTTATTAAAATGAGAAATTTAGTAGAATCATCTATCATAAAGTGTGACTGGCAGAAAAAGTGAATGACAAATATCTGCTTTGACATTGATTCGGCAGAGATTAGTAAGACTTCAGTGTCCTGTACACAGAATTTATAAACTTCATATCGATTTATTGAATCATTTACAGTATTCCTGCAAACTGATGTTTGATCCTTTGGTGCTAGAGCTAAACCACATCCATGTATAACAAACTATTAGAAAAGTATTTTTTCTTCTTTCAAGAGCTAGACCAAATTCATTTTATGCTCACATTACTGGGATTTTAAATTTACAGACTGGAAAAATCAAAAGTTCTTTGTCCCAATTTATTCATCAAGAATTCTTCTTTTTATAGTCATGGGAATCTAAATGCATAGTGATAAAAATAATGCATGCAAAGATTTAAAAATCCCATGGTCACAGTTAAAGTGGCACCTGAACAATTTGAACATGTTTGTCTAACTTAAATAAATGATAGTTATGGTATGAAATCAACACATAAAGCAGGGACAAGAACAAACAGCACAGGGAAGTGCGAGGTCAGCTTCTCCAAGTCTTTGAAAGTCTTTCAGCAGGAACAACATTATTCCCAAAGAAATGTCTGTCCAAACTCTTCCGTCATTTGACAACTGGGCTGTGATGTGGTAACTGTGAAGAGTTTATCATTCATGTAATTCTCTTTATCAAACTGACTACACTGACACACGTTTGTACTGGAAGAGCAATAGTGTTTGCAAAAGTTTCATATTGTGGTAGGATTGGTTTGTGCACTTATTTGACTCATTATTATTATTATTATTATTATTATTATTATTATCTCTATTGGTCAAGTTAGTTGCAACAAATAACTCTGAAATTGAAACAGCTGGAACTGAACCACAGGATGAGAGACTAAGGTTACAGCTAATGATATTTCAAAGTTTACCTGTGGGAACCGACTGGGCAATACCAGTATAGTACAGCTCTGTTTTTAACTGTGATACAGGCACATAACCAGCGGAGGATTAGGAATTGTTCATAAAAAGCCTATTCCTAAATTCCTAATGTCCAAAGTGGATGCTAACTAACTTTACAGTGACTCTTTCCAAATGCTGAACATTGTGTAAGACAGCACGGATCAATAACTGTCTTATGCCTAATGGCAAAAAAGAGAGACCAACCTAGCTAAATGTAAACTGTTTATATGTTAAAGGTTCTAATGATGGAATACTGCAGCATCGTCAAGTTCATCAAACAAACACGGATCATCGTTTATTGAATCTGATAGTGTGAAAAAATAGATCAGCGCCCATCAATGCTTGTATATTTAATGTGTCGGTGTTTCTGTGCACTCAAAGTGCTCCATATAGATGCTGCAGCACTGATCCCAGCAAAACGACACACCTTCAAAAAGTGTAGGCACAAACAGGCAGACGTCTGCTCACAGTACATCTGAATCTATGTTTGTTGATAAAAATATTATGATGAAGTCCAAAAAGCAGAAGTCCAAAGAGTCACAGGAAACACAAGGTGAGCGTTATCAGCTCCAGGGCTTAACATAAGGAATGTCCTCAAGGAGAAACTCGTCCAAAATCACAGTGCAGAGACGACATCTTATGTGATGTCCTTCTGTCTCGGTGGCCGGTGAATGTTTCTGACCACACACTTCACCATCCACTCAATGCCTTCGTTCACGCCGTCCCTGTATGGAACAAGCAGATTGTTTCATATTTCTTTTAACATCTACAGAGTGTGAAATTATTTAAGACATAAACACATGAAAGGTTAAATCTAAGGCATTTCCTAATATATGCTCATTTTGAATTTAATACTGCTGTAGCTGCTGCCCGGACCAACAGCTTAGCAATGATCTAATAACACGACTGGCTAGAAAAAGGTGAGTCTTTGAAAAATGCAGATGGGCCAGTTCACCAGTCTGCAAGAAGACAACAGTAAACAACGAGGACTGAATTCAAAACGGTGCAAAATATTTCTTCACAGAAAGGACGAGGCTGAAAGCTAAACAGCTGGGATTTTACTTTAAAAACAGACAAAGTGGAAATCACTGCATTTGCTGAGAATTACTTGTGAAATCCACTGCATCCACTGATGTGACTTCAGACTCTACAACTAAAAAAACAAATGCTAATGTCTTCTCTGAGGCTCGAGCTCATTTAAGTTGGGTTCAGGAAAAGGAGGGCTGTGCAATCACATTGTGAAACATCCACCCTTGTTAAGAAAGGATGACCATCCATCTCACAGGTCAGAAGAATCTGTGATGGTGCAGTTTTCTGCTATCGATCGTGGCATGGGGAACTTTGACCCGATTAATGCTGCTGGAAGTGCAAACCTGTCAACCAATAAAAACCTTTGGCACACTTTGAAAATGAAATGAAAACATTACAAAAAGGTCTTTTGACTGTTTCCAATTAAATTTAGGATTTGAATATTTGGAAATCACCACATTGTGGCTGTTTTTGCATTTTAAGTGAAGGGACTGTAATTTTGATGAAATGTTGTTATTTGAATTGTTGAATGCAGTCCTTGTCTATTAACAGATGTGATCATAAACTTAAACTGATGCAAATTTGCATTCACTGTAATTGAATCAAATAAAAACACAATGCTACGTTGCATCATGTGTGAGAGCAAGCTGTTGCAAACAAAGTCATCAACTGTTGTAGTCTTACCCTGTGAGAGCAGTGCATGGCTGGACTAAACAGTCTCTCTTGCCAATCTTTGGAGCACAGTCACTGAAGGTTGTTTTAATGTCGGGCACCGACAAACAGTTCTGAGAAAAAGAACATACACAAGACTGAAGGCAGTGACCAAGTTCAAGATTTAAGATTCTGGGTCTTTATTGTCAACACACACACAGTGTACAGC